GCAGCACACCAAAAATGTTATATTTTTTGCCAATCTAACAAAAACAAAAGGGTATAATTTTGATTCATTCACACCAGACAGCAACTGCTGTGTTAGCTGTTGACATTTTTTTTTATTTAACAATCCAAAGCAAGCATGTCAAACTCAAAGGCTAACACGGGCCAAAAAAATAAGGTTTAAATTTATGTGGGCCACAAAAAAACAAAAGCTTCAATTTTCATAGAAACATAGGTTTACTTCGATAGAGACATGCTGAATACAAAGGGCTGAAATAAGTGAGTAATTCTTAACATAAAATAGAACATTTTAATAAAAATTAATTTTTTCTTGAACATGAACTTACCAGACACTGAATAACTGCACAAATTAATGTGTACGCAAATAAACCTATTTTTTCTTGTTCTCCGAAAGCAAAATATTTCCTGTTGCACACACCAAACAAGTCAGTGCAAGACTAATGACATGGCAATTCGCTGCTGAAATATTCGCTGCTAGTATTAGTGGAGAGAAGTGGTGCGCCTGCGGGTAAGGCGCGTAAGGGAAATGAATGTAAAACAATTATAGTAATCAGTGATTAGTGAACGCTGTAGTTCATTATTAATAATTATGTATAACAGGATATTGTAAAAATTAAGAAAATTTTATTAAAACGTTTCTTACATACCGTTATATTGGCTGGGCCGCAAAAATATTCATGTGGGCCACATGCAGCCCGTGGGCTGCGAGTTTGACATGCTTGATCTAAAGGTAAAGAGGTCAGAGCCTCTGAGTAGTCAGTATTGCATGTTTTAAAAATTCTTGCAGCACACTGGTTGAAAATCCCTCAGAATATCTACTTTCTCTGATCATATGCTCTGGGGGAAGCTGGCTACCATGTGCTGGGGACACTCAGGTAGCTATGGGGACCCACTTAGAACCCCAAGAGTTAGTATGATTATATTAAGCTGGAGACCTTTCAGATTCAACATATGCAGAAAGAAGCCCTCTCAAAGCTTCCTTATCTAAGAGCAGAAATTTAGGATATGATGCTGCCATAAATCTCCTTTTGGGGGTGGCTTCACTCCCAGGAAGGAGATTAAGAGTGCAACTATCTTAAATCCCCTCTCTGGGTTATGGCCATGAAGAAGAAGAAAAAGAAAAAAACCGTTAGCATCACCATAAACAAACAGTATCATAAACTTCCTTATCTCCCCTTTGTTACCCTAAAACCCATTTGTCTTTCCTAATAAAAATCTTTGTTCTCTATGCATTAAACACCAATTACTCAAGAAAAAAATGATCTTACATATTTTAATGCATGTAACATCATATTTAAAATTGTTTTTCTTGAGATATTAATGTTTATTGCATGTAACATTGTTATATTTAAGATCATTTTTCTTGAAAAAAAACTTTAAAAAGCTTATGTTACAAATCTGGAAAAAAAAAATTTTGTTCTTCTCATAGAAGCTTTTTCTCCCCACCTTTTCCCCTATTAAGTAGGTATAGAAGCCCATAACTTCAGCCATTTAGTAAGCCACTTCTTTTGTGCACTCCTATATGCATATGAATAAACTTGGTTCTTTTGTCAGCTTAATTCTCAGGTCCACAAACACTAAACCTAAGTAGGTAGATGGAAGAAAAGTTTCCCCTTCCCACAGAGGTCCACAAGGCCAGGAATGGAGGCTTCAGGCAAAAAGCAAGCGAGGAACCTGTAAGGCCTGCCATCAGCCACATGAATGAGCTTGAAAGTGGAGTCGAGATGACAGCAGCCCTGGCCAACAGCTTGCTGGCAACCTCATGAGAGACACTGAGCCAGAAGCACCCAACTAAATTGCTCCCCAAAACTATGAGATAATAAATGTTATCTTAAGCTGCTAAATTTGGGAGATAATATCAGGTAATTTCTTAAGTAGCAAAAGAAAACTGATACACCACACAACAAGGAAGATACTGAAGGGAAGGAAAGGAAAGGAGGGAAGAACATCAGCAGATAAACTATTTCGATACATTTCTAGTTAACAAAAAATAGATGGAAAAGCTCTGCACAGAGGTAGCAACACCCAAAAACGGAGCTGCCTGTTTTTGCAAAACCCCAAAGATCCAACCCAGAAATATCAACTACAAAGGAATAAGTAATTCATTAAAAAACATTTTTTTTATGAGAAAACTTCCCAGAAAGCTGTAAAAGAGACAAGGAAAGGAACAGTATGAGACAAGATTAGAGATTAAAAAGAATCTAACAGGTATAACAACCAATAATGGTTCTAGAAAGGAAAAATTATGGGGGAGAGGGGTTTGTAATAAACTATCAGAGACAGGGAACTCTAAAGTCCGTATCTTAAAAGACTTGACAAACATTACATATGGGTTATTAGGATAAAGGGAAGATTAAATACACAGGCATGATCAATAAAGAACTAACAATAATAGTCCTATATAATAAAAGCCTAATATGCAAATTGACTGAATGGCAGAAGGACTGGCAGAACAACCGGTTGCTATGATGTACACTGACCACCAGGGGGCAGACACTCAACGCAGGAGCTTCCCCCAGCCTGCAGGCCCCAGGCCAGCCAAGGCAGGTGTGAGCAGGGGGGCCCCCCCAATCGCCCCACCGGTTGCCCCACAAAGGGAGGCGACCAGTGGCGGCAGCGGGGGATGGAGCCAGCAAGCAGGTGGCGCCAGGCTGGCCAAGGAAAATGCCAGTGGGGGGCCCCCTCAATCGCCCCACCAGTTACCCCACAGATCGGCCATGATCGCTGGCCAGGCCTAGGGACCCTACCCATGTACGAATTTTGTGCACCAGGCCTCTAGTTTAACTATAATGAGAAACTAGAAGAAAAGGCAGACAACATTTTGGTGAGCTGCATCCTCAGCAAGCACACTAGGAACTCACCTAAGGTTGATTAATAAACAGTAATATAAACATATTATTTAGAGATTTGGGGATAACCACAGAACAAGTAAAAAAATAGAAAGGGTTAAAGTGATTGCCTTAGGGATCAGAACTGATAGAGAAAAGAGATGGGGAAGAGTTATAGTGTTTTCCATTATAAGCTTTCCAGTACTATTTGATTCATTTAACTATAAACAATTAATACCTTAATAAAGAAATATTATTTTTAGTCTAGTCATCTAATTGAAAATATTTAATGAAACGGGAAAATACTGAGGATACATTAAGTAAAAATAGCAGATTACTAAACTATAAATCATAGATACTAAACAATTTTTGTAGAAGATCCAATATAGCAGGCACCACCATAATTTCCAGCACCTAGAATGGTACTTAGCACAAAGTACACACTAAGAAAATGTTGTGGAATGAATACGCTTTCATTTAACTAAACAGATATACAGATAGACTGGAAGGTCTGAAAGCATATACATCAAAGTCTAACTGGTGATTACAAATGTTTTTTTATTTTTGTCCTTTTCCTTATATTCTTTTTCCAAATTTTCTACAATGAATATACATTACTTTTATAATGGGGAATATTTTTAAAGATACTATCATTTCTTCATTATTACAAGACCAGAATCACAAGACAAAAAAAGACATTTTTACTGAAATGTATATCAAGTCCAAGTTAGAAAAAGTCTCAACTACCAATAATGGAAGGTATAGACATCATTGATCTTGACCTAATTAAGAGGATTTGAAAAACCTCCAGGATAATAGGAATATAGAAATATTATAAAGAAAAAAAAAGAAATATTGTTATCCATTGCATAAATCAGGTATTAAATTCCAATACTGGTAAACAAATTTCATTAAATCTACCAGTTCTGTAGATAAAAAGACTGTTGGTTATTTTGGTTTCTTTTACATTAAGTAGCTCCATTCATAATGAGAATAGAGAATATCTTATCAGACTTTAAAGTGTGAAATCAAGTGATATATCCATTTGTACTACTTAGCATGAATATTACCGGTTATGCTTTTTAGAACTTCATAGCCACACACAAATTAAATATGAAAAATAGAGTATCCTCTTGGGTGCTCTTCCATCAGAGAGGGGAATGGCATATCGATTATTCAGATTTACATTGGTCTGAAATAAAATTTAAATGCCACTTAAATTGATTTGGGCAGCACTTATATATCAAAGGGGTGGAAAGATGTGAAAAAGATTTTATTTTTATAAAAGTCAGTATTCATAAGAAGAAAATCTCAAAAGAAATATTCCAAAAGTTGTTTTATTTTACATTTGCCCCTGACATGGCTGACTACTTTCAATTTTCTTTTGTATAAAGCAAACACCCTTTTTAAAAAAATCAATTACAATTCTCGCAATGTCTCACCAATTCACAAAGAGGAACGGATTTGTTTTCTCTCTTTTACCCTGTTGGGGAGCACACGAGACTTGGTTGGAAAGTTTGTAAGGAGGACATTCTGAGAAAAAGGGAAGTGTGTGGAAGGCCGCCTGCCCTGTTTATCAGAATTCTGACTTAGGGGAGTGCCGAAGGCAGTGCCCCTAATTATTCCTTGACCTTTCCAAATAAGTCTGTGCACATGCAGACCCCCACGTGTTTACTGGAATCCTTATCTTTGGGTGTCCTTGCTTAAAGGACACTACAAACACATGTGTCCTCCCAAAATTACTTGCCCTACTGATTGTATCTAACAAAGATAAACTTTATCTCAAACTGCTAGTACAGTAAAAGCCTAAAGAGGCAGGCGATGGAGGCTGTCTGGTTCCTTTAGCAGGCAGTCCCTTAGCCCTCTCTTTCACAGCAAACGTTGTGTCGGAGTAATCCATTCATCCGTCATCCAGGGTCTGCTGGTTAGCCCCAGCATTACCCAACCTAGTACCTGCCACTGCTATAATCACACATACTGGACTACAAGTGAGTAAATAACCAGTTCTTAAAGTATCATGGAATTGTGCTGCTTACTTTGCTACTATCTACTTGTATAATTGAAGCAAGTAGTTTATTTTCTGGATTCTGGCTCCTCAGATGTCTCCATAAAAACTGTCTCCCTAGAACAGTATAAAAACTAAATTTTTTTTTTCAGCTTTGCGCAGTGGCAGTATCATTGCCAATGAGGTTTATCCGAGGCACGGTTATTGCTAATTAAAAAAAAAAAACCTAATATTTTTCCAGGTATAATTTTATGCAATAGTGAGTTTCTAAATATTAGATATGATGTTATAGCTATAATTAATATTTACCAGTAAATACGATAGGAAATAAGTTATTTAATACCAATATTCAGTCAGAGTTCTTATGTTATATATCATAAGGAACTATTTGCTTTGAAAAATAAAGCTAAATAGAAATTTATATTTGCACTGATCTCTTCCCTCATGTGGAGTTGAAAAACAACTACGTGAACAAGTCTAAATTAAAACAGTATATGCATTACTTAATTGATCATAATTTGACTTACTCATTCTGTTCCTAATTGCATAAAAAAGTTTGGATTTTGTACTCCACTGAAAATTATTCCAGAGACATCTAAAACCTCTTTAATATTCCACTCAATATGTAAGATTTTTCTAGTCTAGCGTCTCTTTACCTTATCCACCCTATTCCTGTCTGAACATTCAGCTCCAGTCATTAGAATAAGTATCTGCTGCAAACATTATTAATGAGATACATATCAAGGGATCCAAGTAAGCTACTAACTACCTGAACATTATATAAATCAAGCAGCCTGTTGCCGAAACCGGTTTGGCTCAGTGGATAGAGCGTCGGCCTGCGGACTGAGAGGTCCCGGGTTCGATTCCGGTCAAGGGCATGTACCTGGGTTGCGGGCACATCCCCGGTGGGGGATGTGCAGGAGGCAGCTGATCGATGTTTCTCTCTCATCGATGTTTCTAACTCTCTATCACTCTCCCTTCCTCTCTGTAAAAAATCAATAAAATATATTTTTAAAAAAAAATCAAGCAGCCTGTTATAACGAAGGCATGGGGCATGATTTAATGAAAGGAGGGGAAAGGCTTAATTTACCTCTTAAATTTATGTATTTAGTGAATTACTTAAATTAAAAAATATATATATATTGTCAAAGCACCAGGAATTAGCAATAACTTACAATCAAGGAGGAAAAGACATTTCAACTTTTTAATTAAGTAAATTTTAAAACAAAATGTCTTATATTAAGCTTATGTTTTCCTACCTTAAGCTCACTTTTACAATTTCTTATAAAGAAAAGAAAAAGATTTGAGATGTAAATATAGTCTTCTAAGGAGAATGTTTTCAATCAACTTTATAAGTTGACAAACTGTCTTATCTTTATAAGTTGACAAACTATAACCCAAGGGTCAAATCTGACTGCTACCTGTTTTTGTAAATAAAGTTTTATTAGAACACAGTTATGCTCCTTTGTTTATATAAGAGCAGCAGAATATAGCTGCTTTTGTGTTATAATGGCAGCACTAAATAGTTGAGACAGAGACCACCTGGCCCACAAAACCTAAAATACTTACTATCTGCCCCTTACAGAAGACATATGCTAAAAACCCTGGATTAGAACAAAACTTAAAGCTGAGGATTCTGTCTTCAGCACTACTAATCCATTCAGTACCTGACATAGAGCTGGAGGTAACAAGTTTTCAATATAATTTCTGGATTAACGAACAAAAGAGATTCCCAGACCAAAATTCAGGAAGAATCAATCTGTCTACAATTCCCTCCAAGAAGCATTATACAAATATATCTTGCTTACTTAAACAGATGTGTTATAAAATCTGACTTTAACTGAGATTTTCATAAGTGCCTAAGTAGCTTTTCTTCAATTCCTGAAATAATTTACGTTGCATATTTAGCTTGGTTTTTGTTTTTTTAAGTAGGGTATGTCTATATACATATGTGTATTTTATATATATATATATGTATGTATTTACATATATATGTGTGTGTGTGTGTGTGGGTGTCTATATATATATATATAGTATATATATATATATATATA